GAAGTTTTGTAATCTCTATTCCTGGGATAATTTCCTCCTTATCTCTTATACTCTTTTCCACATACCTCTATCCCCCTCCAAACTGTTGTTCTCTAATAAATATATATTTGGACAAATTAATTCAGCCTTTACATGATTTGCAAATTGTATATACATGGTATATACTACAAGGCTTAAAATGTAACAGGCTTGCCCCATTTCTCCATATACTGAGTCCTGTTTTCCAGAGACAAAAATTTTCCATACTTTTTAGGTGCTTATTCCTGATTTACCTCAGATACCAGGTTTAAACATTTCTCTTAATACTGAATACCTGAGAAAAAAGAAGTACAACATGAACTGCTTGGGAAAGAAAGAGTATTCAAGTCTCTCCTTCCTTCTACTCATATGTGGACACATATCTCATTCCATGAGGGAGAGGAAGAAATCGGTGGTAAAAATTAAGAAAGACTAAGAAGTCATACAACAAGTTCGTGCTTTGGATATTAGAGTCATCTTCAACCATCTTTCACAGTTTGTTCTTTCAGGACTTCTGCCGATATACAGAAATGGTTCCCAAACAGGCAGAAAAATTTACTTTAAAGACCTGCTTCTGAAAGACTCTCTTAGTGGTCTTAACCTTATGTCTTCCTCAGCATTACCCAAGTCCAGCCAGTTTGCTTTGGTGCTGGGAGTCTTTGGATAACAGAGTCAGTTCCTAGGTTCCACCAAAACAATCCATTTCTCATTTTAGTACAGCGTTTCACAAACTTCATTGAGCATGCATCAGAATTATCCAGAAATCTCCATAAAAATGCAGCTTTCTGGGACTTGCCTCCATATATTGTAATCAAGTGAGTCTGTAGATAAGATGGGAATCTGGTTTTATAGCACACTTAAGGAGATTTTGATACTGGGGGATCCAGGATACCTTTTGCCAAAGCAGACTGAGCATCTTACAGGGTGATTTGAAAAAATACTTGCATATAATGAAAATACACATATGTACATATATATCATACCTATCTATAATGACTTAAAACATCTAATTTATTTATGTGTATGCTCAGTCACTCAGTCATGTGTGACTCTTTGCGACCCTATGGACTATAGCCTGCCAGGCTCCTTTGTCCATGGGATTTTCCAGGCAAGAATACTAGAATGGCTTGCTTTTTCCTAATCAAGGGGATCTTCCCGACTCAGGGACTGAACCTGCGTCTCTTGTGTCTCCTGCACTGGCAGGCAGATTCTTTACCACTGATCCACCTGGAAAGACCTAAAATTATGTATACATTTTTTTAATTTGTACATGAAAAATCTGTTGGCATTCTTAGAAATTTAACAGTTTTTAACCACCGTGCCATGACACAATGGTGTGCTACAATCAGGGTTCAGGTGTAGGTTAAACATTTGTTGTTAATGACATTTAGAGTAAGTCAGTTACTCTTAACAAATGAATTGCAATAATTTAAGGTCATCTATATAATCATAACATTCCCAGTTAATCGAATTTTGACACATTTTATCTAATAGAAGAGGAAGGAATTGAGCTTTAAGAACAGTATAATACACTAGGAGGTCATGGTTGGACACTGCTCTTACTACCGTACTATTAATATTAGCAGCTGTGTAATCAGGGATTGTATTGATTTACTTCTATAAAAATATTATTTTAGGGTTTCATAAAAATCTTTGTCAAGTGTGAATGTGACTCATGCATGTCAGTGTCACTGGTTAGATGTTAACTTTTACTCGTGGATAAAAATGAGAAAGGCAGCATAGAAACTCCAGGGAAACAGTAGTTTTGAAATTTACACAGAAAGGTATCAGTATTCAGATTCCTGGAATAGAACACATGATAATGAAATATGGACAGTATCATTTTATATATATAGTATGATTTTATATCATCTTATATGGAAACAACATTGATTTACAGTATCCTTACATAATCAGTAAGATTATAGACTATTTTTCACTTTCAGCCTAATAGCCTTGCTTTCCTTCCATCTCTAACGAACCAATTCAGGAAACAAAATACACTTGCCTCATCAATTTACACCTTTAAATAAAACACAAACAAATCCTGCAAAACCTGGAAGAAGGCAGATTCTGGGTTTGCTCACAGGTTCAGCATCCTTGAGGATCCCACTTGCCCCCTGCCCCATCACACCAGACCTTTGGTGCAGAGTTCCTGCATTTGTGCTCAGAGATCTAGCACTGCTTTTCTGAAGCTCTTTTAATTATGAGTAATATTTTTTTCTGCTGCACATAAAACGTCCCTCGTTTTCTGGAGAGGCTAATTGCCTGCCTGAGCTCTCCTTTGTCTCTCATTTTTGTTACACCCTTCTGTCTGCCAGAGAATCTACACAAAACTTCTCTTGGGAGTTCTTCCAACTCTTCCCCAACCCTGCTCCTTAGAAGTCAACTGGGAAAATGAACAATAACAGCAAGCAGCAAATCCTAATGATCTCAAAAGCCTGGTAAAGAATAATTCAGAAGAAAAGAGACCTTAGACACTTTGTGATCATTAACAAAGTTGTGAAATTTGTGAGGAAGTTGGGAGAAAAAAGATTTTTTTTAAAATTATTTGTCAGATTCACAGGCTCTAATTCTTCATTTCTCTAGTTGAGCTGTAACTTAATTATAAAACAAAATCTATAGCCACAGACAGGCCTAGAGGTACAGTCTGTACAACTAATCAACTTTAATTCCCCAGGCTCAATTTAATTACAAAATGACATTCGGTGCAGCTGCTAAACACTTTACCAGATGACCACATGATAATACTCGTATAGTACTTACAGGTCCCCAGCTTCTGTGCTGATTCTAGCAGTGCAATTATGTTTCAGGTATATATAAATTTGAACAGCTCTAGGATTTATAATAAAAGATTCTCTTGATTTTATACATTTCTGTAGTTGAGCCAGCTAAAGTATTGAGCTGCACGACAACTCATAAATGTCAGGGAGTAAAACATAATGACAGAGATGTCCTGAGAAAGAACAATAATAACAAACTGAATTTCAATAACACATTTCTTACCTTTTAAAATTCATTGTCTTTGTTTGGTGGATAAAGTGAAATCTGCTTACGTATATGAGTTATCAACTTGTGTTTTAGATTATGACATACATAACTTTTCAATGTAACTAGACATAGCTAACTCATTTGTCTGCTTGTCTCCGCGTTCCATAAGAAAATTCAGGAAGTGATTGTCCTATAAAATATTTTTTACCTGACAAAACTAATCACTGATGTTTTTAAAATAGTCAGCTCCTTTAGTATATTTCAAACGTATTCAATTTGTACAAATGCCCAGGAAGACCACTGCAATATGTAAGATCTGATCTTTCATTTTATGACATTTAGCCAGAAGTTCCATGCACAGTTAACTTTTCATCTTAGAGCTATTTTCATCCTAGCCCACACAAATATACTTTTAATAATACTTGGGATCCCAGTTTCTCCCTAGGTCTCGAGGAGGTTAAGAAAAATTATTTAAATTGAGAAAAAAGGAATCAAGAAGCAGTATCATTAAGGGAGTTACTAATGATGCTAAAATAAATATGACCCTTACTGCTTTTCCAGCAACTCACATGGTAATGTAGTGTCATTTAATTCAAATTAGGATTTGAAGTGGGCATATAAACACAACACAACAGGATACGTTCCATTTGCGTGCTTTCTCCTAGATGTTAATCCTCTTTTCTTTCCCTTTAGAGGAGAACTGGGTACAAGCTAAAGAGAGGATGTATCATAACTAATTATATCTACAGAGAAAAGAGCAACATTCACTGTTTAGTATCTGGAGCTCTAATCCCCTGCTTCACGTTCCCCTTCCAGCCTCCAGGGCTGGTTCAGATGTTGCCTGATGCGGTCCTGCAGACTACCTGAGACACCAGACCAAGACAACACTGCTCGTTTCGAAGTTGCAAGGCTCATTTCTCAGTACTGGCAGTGTTTGTCAGTCTCTGACCCCAGAGAGTATCTTTCTCTACTGAGCAGTGATTGAGTCACAGGAGGAAAAGATTCTGTTTGCTGGAAGAAAATAGGATAGAAGGAATCATGACGGTTACCAGATGTTCCAGTGGCCCTGCGGGGGCACCAGAGTGTCTCTGCGTCTGCTGTAAAGAGCAGCAACTGTCACAGGGGCCCTGGGGCGTGGTGCTCACGCTGCTCTGATGTGCAGAGTCATAGGATTCCAGACTTGGAGGGAACCTTAGAGACAATTTTAGCCAGGTTTACACCGCGTCTGGGGGACTTCTGTGTTTCCTAAGTGTAATTCAGGGATTGCTAAAGAGTCAGGGGGAATCTCCCTGAAAAGTAGCATCACGCTTGGAAAGGATGCAAAAATCTTCAGTCAAGGCTAAGAACAAGACAGTATATTTTATCAAACAAAAATCAGTTGTAAAAGTCCAGGGTAATTCCTATGGTTCAAGAAGAGAACTTTGTGGAAAATCCCCACCTGGGGGGCTCTATGACATTCCTGGAAGGGAGAGTCCTAGATTTCAGAAGGTTGATTCAGGAGGAACTCTAGGCTTCAACGGGTCTCATGGCTTGGTGATCATTACTAAGACACAGGGTCACGGGGAGATGAAGGCTTCTGAAATCAAGCCAGCCAAAGCTAACAACCCTTCTTTATTTACATATCACTTTCTATGGCAAATTAAAAACTCTTAGAAAAATGTTCCCTTTCATTGTTATTTTTTAATTTGTCAATTTTACACCTTGTCTTGATGATGACCTCTTATTGCACGTTACTTGTTTTCAAAGTAGAAAATACCCTGTGATTGTTTAAAGACCCTCTCCACAGCCACCATCAGAAAAAATGAAAGAGAGACAGAGAAGAAAGAGGAAGGAAAGAAGGAAGGACGGAAGGGGCAGCTGTTTCTGTGTTTGTTTGTAAACAGAACCAGCTACGATGCGAGAAGACATAATATTTTAACATAAGGAGAAGTATTTCTCCAGGGTCAAACAGACAGCCATAAAATCAAAGGAGGGTAGATAATCTTCCTCACCATCACTGTCGATGCACACAACCTCTTGGGCTTGCGTGCCTGGACCACACTCCCTGCCGTTGTCTGGTTCACAGTTGCCGAGCCCCACTGCCTTCCAGTCAGAGCAGGAGGGCTCCTCACAGGGAATGGCTTCCAGTAAGTGAGGGCAGCTCCCACTGCCCCCCCAGCCCGCAGTGGGCTCACTGGTGATGCGCCGCTTCCTCAGTTTGAAACCTGCATTGTTGGGGAAGTAAAACATTCTTTGTTACCATCATGGGTTGAATATTTCAGAAGGCTGAATGAAACCCTAAGTGAAAGCAAGATGAGGGTAAAGGGTAAAATTCATATGTGTTTTATTCCCTAGTGTATCCCCAAATGCTAGTTTAATAGGAGCTCATTAATAATTTATTAAATGAATAAATGAATGAACAAATGGCCAAAGAGGGACTTCTGGTGTTAGCTTACTATAGTAAAAATAAAGTGAGAAAAGAGCTGGAGAGAGAGAAAAAAAGAGAGGAGATTTTGCTTTTGGTTAATTTGGAAAGTCTGTAGTTATAAAATGTTCAAAGACAATAAAATCTCCAAAGACACCATAAAATCTTAAGCTATTCAGAAATATTCATGACCAGACAAAAGTGGTATTACATTGAATTCCTCAACAGGCTTATGTGGTTAAACTTGAAAAGGAACCTCTGAGAAGTTGGATGATCTTAGGAACCTGTCTCTTTGAGCCTTAGTTGATTTTAGACTCCCCAAAAATCTGAATTAGGGATATAACCCATCTGGGTTCTAATGAGGAGTATTCAAAGATCTTCTCTGTGCTTTAATAGCATCTAAGGGTTGCCTTGTTTGACACTGTATGACAAAATTAGTAAGTCTGTCTATTACTAAGTGAACATACTAGAATCACTAGAAAGCTGTCCTTTGAAACAAAACAGAAATAGTGTTTTCAATTACTAGATCATGTGAAAATCACTCTGCCGTGCCTGCCACATGGGAAACAACTGCATTTATTCTACTTCTTTCAGATATAACATTTGCATCATAAAAGTAATAGTCATTATTTGTTTATCTTAAAATAATAAGGAGTTCTACTTATTAGGTACTAGCTATGGGTCAGGCAATGAAAGTTTTTATCTTCTGGTATCATCACCTGGGTGGGTTTATACTTCTTTTGTGATCAATACTCTTTAGCCATTCTAGAAAATACTGTCAACAAATGATCACAGGAACATGCAGCAACGTTTGCTAATAATTCATGGTTTGACTCCATTGATGGGCGTTTCAAGCATGCCATTTTAGTACTACATACCTTTTTTGCCTTGCTGGTCATTACAGTTTTCATAAGTGCAAGGTCCCCAAGCTGTCCAAGATGAAACCTCACATTCAATAGGACAGGGAATGTGGCACAGCTGTGTCGTGTTAGGGACAGGGCCAGTGCATGATTTCAAGTCCACTGGTTTTGAGGCTGTTTGGAGACAAAGAGAGATCCCTTAAGAATTAAACATAGTACTGGTTAATAATATGATTCTTCTATGTGTATGAAGAAGGAAAAATGCTTAGAGAAGTGTCATCAAGACATTACTTCAATGCTTCTCAGCTCCATCCTGAGAATAAAAGAAGAAGAAGGGGGAAAAGGAAGCAATGTAGTGTAGTTAAAGGAAACTGGGCTAGAAGTCCTAAAATTGTTTAATCTCCAGCTTCACCACTAATTAGCCATGCAATTAATAATGTTGAGTCTAATATTCCTAGCCAATAAAACAATACTGATGGCTAATTTTATTTCTAAAGCTTTATAGTCAGATTCTAAAAATGCAGAATTTACTTTAGAGAACTGAACAGAGTAGGAGGGGAAATAAATGTCTATGGAAAATCTCCACTGAGCGCCTTGTGGCACAATAGTCTCCGTTCCCTTTTGGCCCACAGAGAGGTACCTGGTGGATGTGATGAAGGACCAAATGGGGCATCTTTATCTCCAACTGCATAACTCACCAGGTACTTTCCAGAACTTTCAAGAGTACACCATCTGAGAATGTGATCCAAAGCTCACATTAGAATTGATCATTAGAATTGCTAAGGGGACTCATTTATAATTGTCCATGTGTGTTCATGAGTTGATCAATGAACTGTGGATAAATACTGCTAGACCGTGGTTCTTTCTTCCTTTGATGACTGCAATTTGGCTATTTTGTACAACACATACATTTGACAGTTAATGTCAGATGGCGTCCATAGTTCTGGTTAAAAAAGACTAAGTGAGAAAGATACTTGAAGCTATAAAGACATCAGAAGAGAATCAAGTTTACTACTGTCATAAAAATTTAAAGAAGCAAATGTCTTAGACACATATTTCCTTTAATGACAGCTAGCTTCTGTTATCGGAGAAGGCAGTGGCACCTCACTCCAGTACTCTTGCCTGGAAAATCCCATGGATGGAGGAGCCTGGTTGGCTGCGGTCCATGGGGTCGCTAAGAGTCAGACACGACTGGATGACTTCACTTTCACTTTTCACTTTCATGCATTGGAGAAGGAAATGGCAACCCACTCCAGTGTTCTTGCCTGGAGAATCCCAGGGATGGGGGAGCCTGGTGGGCTGCCATCTATGGGGTCGCACAGAGTCGGACATGACTGAAGCGACTTAGCAGCAGCAGCAGCAGCACCAGCTTCTCTTATAGGCTGATACTCTGAAAAGCCCATCCACGTAGCACAAAAAGCCTGCCATAATAAGAGATCTAACTCTTACGTTCTTTATGTAAAAGTGAAGTGAAAATCACTCAGTAGTGTCCAACTCTTTGTGACCCCATGGACAATACAGTCCATGGAATTCTCCAGGCCAGAATACTGGAGTGGGTAGCCGCTCTCTTCTCCAGGGAATCTTCCCAACCCAGCAATTGAACCCAGGTCTTCTGCATTACAGGCAAATTCTTTACCAGCTGAGCAAGCAGGGAAGCCCATGTAAAAGACTATGAAATTCCAATTACATGGGATTGCATATAGATGATCATAGAGAAAATAAAATATTTTAAACCATAATATCCCAACTTTTAAATAAAAATACTCAATATATCTACTTGTAGTTTATTTAAACAGGAAAGCAAACTGTAGGTACTTGCATATCCCTCAACTTCCTACACACAGAAACACAATCATAAAGGCTAGTATATTAACTCCTCTTTCTGCCACAGTTTTCAGTTCTGAAAAATATTCTACAGAATTTTCCTCCAAGAAGTACTTATTTCCCTCCCCTCTCAGTCACAGCCCTCTCATACACAATGAAGTGAAAATAAATGACTGGGCATCCCTAACTTCCTTAACATGAGCACCATGAGCATTCTCACTTACGTTTATCAGAATTGCTACTAATTTGCATCCTAACATTAGCCAAAGCCAAAAATGATTAACTGGATTGCTTTCCAACAGTGAAAGTACTTGGCACAGTAATGACAGAAAATACAGAAATAAATGCTTCATTTGTCTGAATATAAAAAAAAATGACATCAATAATACATATCTCACATAAAATGACTTGTTTTTAATATTCTTACAGGCATAAGAGTCTTGGGATGGTTGATTTCATGTGGCAACTTGCCTGGGCTAAGGGATGGTGAAGCACTGTTTCTGGGTGTGTCTGTGAGGTCACTGCCGGAAGAGATTGGCATTTGAATCAATAGACTAAAGTAGACTTTCCTCACCACTGTGGGTGGGGCAGCATTCAATCCACTGAGGCCTGAAGAGACCAAAAAAGTGAAGGAAGGTTCATTTTTTCTCTTCCTTACCTGGGATATCTATCTTCTGCTCTTGGACATCAGAATGTCTTTTTCTGGGGAACCAGAAAGTACACCAGTGGCCTTCTTCCCAGGATTCTGGGAGCTGATTCCTACCCAGGATTCTGGGAGCTGATTCCTATAACGTACCTATATACAACCTATTGGTTCTGTTTCTCCAGAGAACCTTGACTAACGTAATTCTATAATACACAGGAAAAACTCCTACTCCTATAACTTCAAGTTAACATAAGTAATTCTTTCATCTGTGGAATCTTTCAGTGAAAGTGTCAGTCGCTCGATCATGTCTGACTCTGTGACCCCATGGACTGTAGCCCACCAGGCTCCTCTGTCCACAGGATTCTCCGGCAAGAATACCGGAGTGGATGGCCATTCCCTTCTCCAGGGGATCTTCCTGACTCAGGGATTGAATCCTGGCCTCCTGCACTGCAGGCAGATTTAATTAGTGGTTATATGTATACTTATCTGAAAAGTCTCTGAGTTTTACTTTCAGTGAACTGAAAGTAACTTTATGATTCAGTGTTATTATACATTTTTGGAAATTAGAGTTGGAAAGTATACAATTATGAGAACTATTACAGCCTGAAGAAATTTATTTTATATAGAAAGTTGAAAATTTTAGGAGGAAACAAGGTTTTTGGTTTTTTTTTTTTTAATTAAGGAAACAGATACAAACATTAATTCCTGGCCATTTTTCTAGTGTTTAATTTTAACTCTGTGTATTTTGAGTAAACAAAGAATAATCAGTCACAATTCTTTAACTATTAAGAAAGAAATATGATGAATAAAGGCTTAACGAAGTATTGCTTGAAGCAAAATATGCTTAACAATCTTCTGCTAAGCTGGCCAACTCAACACAGAGATAATACAGCTCTTGAAAAACAGTGCCAACTAAAAATTGGCACTTGCCATCTGCCTCTTCAAGGATTAAACACAAGCTGCTGTGACAGCTGACCTTCAACACACCCTGAAAGGGGTTCGGTGTGGAGACCCAGAAGGGGGCAATGGGGCAGGCTTTCAGAGAGATATTTTCAGAAGATTTTATGAGCCCACTTCTTGCATCTCCTCATATCTAGAAAAACACTAAAACCCTTTATAGTGACATCTGCTCCTTATGATTAGCAGCAACCTTCTGCAAAAAATGTATGCCTAATCGCACATATTCCTTTCATCAAAATGACATATATATACACTGACCTTCTCCCCTACCTCTTTGGAGGTTTCTCAGAGCTATATAAAATGCTGTCTCCTGGGTTATAGTCCTCATTTTGCCCCAAATAAAACTTAACTTACAACTTTCACACTGTGCATTTTTTTCAGTTGATAAAAGCCTCAATTTCACAGATAACTTTCTATCTGTCATTAATCAAATAAACACAGGGGGAGAATATGTATTTGTGAATGATTCTGTTCCTTTGATGATCTTCACTGTATATTTTCTTATCCAGTATATGCTGATTTTTTTTTTTTTGTATTTTCAGTGGTTTTATTTTAAATAAGATACTGTAAATAAATGTATTCAGCCAGTTTTACAAATATGAATCACACAATTGTTGATCTGAGTGATTGGGTTCTGTCTTAGACCCCCCCTGGCATACAAACAGGTGGCAAATTGGGACTACCACTTCAAGCCTCATGACCAGTACACAGACTGGCCGGTGGAGGTGACCAGGATGAAACCATCAGGGAAAGTGAGAGAACACTTGCGGAGTGAGAGCAGGGTTCAGCAGAGTCAACTCTACGCCTTTAAACAGTATGTGCTGATTAATGTAAATCACAGGTATGAGCTAAACTCTTCAAAAGCTGTCTTTTTTTAATTTTTTGCAATGGCCCAAGATTTATCTGTAATCAGTGTGATTCAATAATGAAGTAAAGAAGAGACAAAGAAGATCTTATTAGGTGCTAGTTTAATCTGTGAGATATAATTTCTACAGTTTTATATTACATAATATAATATTTATTGCTGATCCCTTATTCTCAAACATGGGGAACTAAATTTTTTAGCATGGCCCAGTCATAATTCTTATAAAATTTCATTAGAAATTATTAAGAAACTGCTCTTCCAGTATAAGGTCCAAAGAAGTATACATTAGATTTTTTTAAGTCTTATTGTTGATCTCTTGAAAATAAAGGAGATAATTTATTGTTCTCATATGACTTAAAGGGTTTTTAATTATATGTACTCTGTATGCTTCACAAGATCATAAAAGAATTTATTTTCTGGACTTAATAAAGCAATTTTTGTAGGTCTGAAACATTTTGCATTTGTATAGAGTACAACAATAAACAAAAATTCATTATAGGAGATAAACTTGATCATTTGTTTCCAGTAATGAGGCCGATATGGTATTGTGAAAATATACTCTCTGTATAATCCCTAAGAATAGTGAATATGTAATTTTTTTAAAATGAAATGTCTTATTCTGAGATAACCAGAGATCCACATGAAATTGTAATTTCAGAGAGATCCTACATATTCTTTACCCAGTTTCTCCCATTAGATCTCACAAAACTATAGTATAATACCACAACCAGAATACTGATATTGATACAGCTAGGGTACATGTACTGGGTTGAATAGTATTCCGCTCTCCACCCTGCCTCAAATTCGTGTCTTCTAGAAGCTCAGAACATGACCTTATTTGGATATAGGGTCACTGCAATAATCAGCTAATGAGGTCCT